TGCTCGGCTCGCCCCCGGCCCCGACTTCGAGAAGGGCGGACACGGGCCGCTGTCGCCGGGAGGCCTCGGCCACACTTACTAAGGAGTCCGCGAGGCGGTCGTGCGGATGGAGGCGTAGGGAGAGGCTGCCGGAGCCCCGGCGGCGGGAGGTCGGGGCCTAGGGCCGCGGAGGCAGGTCGCGGAGACGCTACTGAGACCCGCCCGGGCGCGTCCTGGAGCCGCCCCGCGGTGGCCCCGGCCCCGGCCCCTGGCCGCGCCCGGCCCCGGCCACTCGACCCCCTGCCCGCGGCGCCCCCCGGCCGGAGGAGGAGCCCCCCGGCCCAGGCAGCGCAGCCAACCCGGCGGCCCTGGGGAGCTGATTTCCCCCGTTAAAACTAGAAGAAAAAAAAAGAAAGAAAAACTTTATTAGCCTGCACCAGAAGCCACAAAAGACCCAGAATTTGCACGGTTCAAGGCCGGCTGCCTCAGACAATAGGGAAGGCAACGACCCGGATACAGCTTCTAGCAGGAGGAAGTGAAAACTCGGGCCCCGTGCGGCCCTGCGAGTGGCAGGAGGCGAGGGCGCATGCGCGGGGCTCGCCGCCGGCCCCCATCCCTCAGCAGGAGCTGAACAGAGCCGAGCGGGAGCCGAACACCGTCAAGGAATGCCGAGCGCAAACGGAGGTCCCGCCCAGACCCTGTGAGGCTCCTCCCACAAACCCCTGAGGCTCCGCCCCTTCTCTCCTTATTCGCCCATTAGTTCAAATTCATGCGAGGCCATATTTTGTTTCTGGTTTGTTTTGCTTTTGTGTTTTTAAAGATTTACTCGGAGGAAACTAGTCACAAAAAGGCGTTTGCTGCCTCTGAAGCCACCATCGGTAAAAAAAAAAAAATGATAGAGACAGTCACACTCTACCTGCTGCTTCTATAAATTCCATCTCTTAAAACATCTTGGCAGCCCACCGAATCAGCAACACTCTCAGGGCTTGCCTTAAAAAAAAAAAAAAAAAAATCTTGGAACGTGCCTGGACATGATGGCTCTTGCCTGTAATCCAAGCACTTTACGAGGCCCAGGCAGGAGGATGACTTGAGCACTGAAGTTTCAGACAAACCTGGCAATATGGCTAGCCTTCATCTCTACAAAATAATCGAAAAATTAGCTGGGAGTGGTGGCGCACGTCTGAAGTCTCAGGTACTCGGAAGCTAAGGCCAAAGGATCGCCTGAGTCTGGGAGGTCGAACCTGCAGTGAACTATGGTCGTGCGCCTGCAGCCTGGGCGACAGAGTGAGACTCTGACTAGATAAATAAATAATCAATCTTGGAATGTGCAAAACATTTATTTTCTGCAAAAGGCTAATCAGACTTTGTCTGATTGCTGCTTTGAAAATTGTAAATCGAACGGAGAAAAAGGTATTCATTTAATTATTCTAATTAAAACTACCGTGCTATGGACAGAAATTTCTACATAAGTAAAACATCCACAGTATGGCTAAGTGCAAACGAAAGTACATCTGGGTAAAATCCTTCTACCTAGCATACTGTGTATGTATTGTGTATCTTCTTGGATGTATGTGAAGTAGTGCCTTGTATCCACTTAGGGAATCTATTTTTTTAAGATGAATTCTTAAAACCATAAATACATGAGAACAGTATGTACTATCGGATATGGCAGTCCCTAAGGAGTTTCTAATGCCACACTTATTCACATACAAGTTAACTGCTCTTAAAAACATTACTAAAAAGTTAGAATCTGAAGCAGTGTTAATAGTTTTTAAACTGTTCATATATCAAAGGTAAATATCTGCATAAACCTGGTTTAATTTATTTATTTCTAAACTATACATTGAATTGAAATGTTTGTAGCATGGAGAAATACAATCTTATGAAAGTCTGTGTAAATGAAACATGCAGGAATCAAATTATATAATGCAGTAGTGGAGCTTACTGGGATTTTTTCGTGTTGAATTTTTTGTGATAGTAAACTGAAATTAAGTGTTATAACATTAAACTTGAAAAAATATTTCATAAGTATTTATAGAGAGCAATTTATGGAATGTTAATCTCTAGTCTGTACCTTCTACAAGGTGGTTATTGTCTTTTCTCTGCCAGAAAGTAAGGTACAGTTGAAGATACAAATAGATAAATTACTGTATATTGTGAATATTCCCTGACAAAGGGAAAGTGCCTAGGAAAGAAGGAGGCACCCAAATGACATCCTAGAGAAAATCATATAGAGATCTAGACACAGAGTATCTGAACTGGCCAGGGGAAGGGTGAAAAGAGACAGAGGTGTTCCAGAACGAGGAAAAGACCTATGCAAATGTCTGGGATGGAAACAGCATGACGAGTCTGGGAATCTGATTACTCAAAAGCTGGACTGGCTCCAGTGCCCTGTGACACTCCACCACGGCACTAGTTATACCAATTATATTGCAGCCTCATTCTTCTGTTTTCCTTAACACTGTCCAAGATGTAAACCCCTCCAGTCTCTCTGAACCACAAATCTCCTTGCCAAATTACCACTGCCCTCTCAAACTTTTCTATTGTGCTATAGAAACTTCTAGTCCTCTCAAACTTGTCTATTGTGCTATAGAAACTTCTATTCCACAGTGTATAAACCTGCTTAGTAAGCCCTCGTCCTCTTCAGTGATCATTCTTTTATCACCTGCTATAAAATAAAACACTTGTCCTACAGCCTTCTCCAAAGGAAACCACTTATCTTCCCACACCTCATTTTCTCAAGATCCAGAAATGACATTCCATTCTTAATACTCCCCATTGGCTGTCAGATCCATTATTCTTCCAGTTAAAATCTTAGCAACTTGGTTACTTAAAAAAAATTCCCTTCTGGGAACTTTATTTTCATAGTACTTTGAATGCCAACAGTACCATGAACTGGTGTTTTACCTTTGAAATGATAAAACCAAGTATTTCACTCTCTGACAATAACCTTGTAGATTCATTAGGAGGAATTATGCTGAATTATCTAAAAGATAAAAGAGATTTAAAATCTGTCATTCTTTTTTATGAAAGAGTAATTTCTGGAAGGAAATCTCTGAATCAAAATACATAAATTCACTTACAAATATAACAAATGAATAAGTAATTACTTAACATCTATTTATTTAACAGATAATGTTGAATTGTTCTCTAAAAATAGACTATACTAAGATACATACTACCAAGAATGGATTAGAATTCTTTCCAGTTTTCCAAACCTCCACTTACTGGATATCAGCAATCTTTATTTTTTTTAACTCTTAATTTTGAAGTAATTTTACATTTACTGAACAGTGCGGTATAGTATTGAGTTTTGTACACCCTTCGCCCAGCTTTCACTAATGTCAACATTTTACATAACCATGGAACATTTATCAAAACTCAGAAATTAGCATTAATACAATTCTATTAACTAAACTACACACTTAATTCAGATTTCACTAGTTTTCCTACTAATGTTCTTCTGTTTCATATAAAATCCAGGTGACAATATTGCATTTAGATTAGCAATCTTTTGCAACCTGTGTATTGAAAACAAAAAAAGAAAAGAAGGGAGGGAGGAAGAAAGGGAGAAAAGAAAAAACAAAGGAGAAAAAAATAAAAAAGAATAAAGTTTACCTAATTACTTGCTTGATTCATTTCTTTTTTATTTCTTTTTTTAAATTTATTTATTTTGAGTCAAGGACTCACTCTGTGGCCCAGGCTGGAGTGAAGTGGCATGATCAACACTCATTGCAGCCTCAACTTCCTGGGCTCAAGGAATTCTTCTGCCTCAGCTTCCCTAGTAGCTGGGACTATAGGTGCACACAACCATACTCAGCTAATTTTTTTATATTTTTGTTTAGATGTTCTCTTGTGTTGCCCAACCGGTCTTAAACTCCGGCTCAAGCAATGCACCTGCACTGACCTCCTGAAGTGCTGGGATTATAGGTATGAACCACCATGCCTGGCCTCTAATTGTTTTTCTTGATCTGCACTTAATATAGAAGAAACCACTGGTTGTCTCCCAATACTGTTATAGCCGAAGTGTGAGAAAGAAGTCGCCAACACACAGAAAGTTGAATTTGAGTCCTTTATTAGCCGATGGTTGAGAGCAGGTTAGTGCCATAAAGAAGTCTCAACCCCGAACAGTGAGCAGGGGGTTTATAAAGGCAAAAACCACAAAAGCTGTACAGTTATGATTACATTTTTGCAGAACATTTGGTTGCAAAAGGGTACAGATAGCTGTAGAATTTGCAATTAAGGAGTTTCCAAGCACCAAGGGGGAAAAGAATGTGGGCTTGTGATTACGGCAAAGTTACAACTTGTGATTACAGGAAGGTTATGCAGGGGGGTCATCTCTGGGTTAAGATGGAGGATTTGTTACAAAATGTAGTTACTTACATCAAGCACACTATTACAGGCTATTACAATACCTATTTGTTCCCCCCACCACCACTTTTTTTTTTCTAAAATAGAAGCCTCAAATTTTACATGAGCACAAGCTTTCCAAGAATTCACTATTTGGAAATGTTCTGGATGCAATTTTTGGTATGTAATTAAGTTCTGGCCAGTAGGATGTCAGCAGAATGCAATTTCTCTTAAAGAAAGGGGCTTGAACTTGTCCTTCCCTTTCAGAATGCCTAATATTTGTTTTCTTGTCTAATTTCTCTGGATAGAAACTTGGGGACACTGTTGAATAAAAGACTTCTTTGTCTTGTTCCTGATCTGGGAAGAAAGATTTCAGTCTTTCTCTGTTTAGCCTGATGTTACCTGTAGGTTTCCACAGATGCTCTTTATCAAGAGGAGGAACTTTCTTTTTGTTCCTAGTTTCCTGATTGTTTTTATTATGAATGAGCTTTGAATTTGGTCAAATACTCTTTCTGTGTCTATGGAAGTGATAGTGTGATTGTGATTTTTGTACTTTATTTTAGCAATATGGTATATTATTACACTGATTGAATTTTGTCTGTTGAACCAACCTTGCACTCCTAGCATAAATTCTATTTAGTCACGATGTATACATCTTTTTAGATATTGCTGGATTCAGTTTTCTAGTATTTTGTTGATGATTTTTGCACCTATACTCAGAAAGGAAATTAAATTGCTATTACTCTATGTCATGTATAGAATTCATCTTTATTGCTTATGAATTAGCAATCACAGCATCTCCTATAATGTTTTTCTGATGTCTTTAATGCACACATGATAAATTACTCTTAAAAGTCTTAATGCAGA